AAAAAAAAAAGAAAGAAATGAGATAGCTACTTATTAGTAGCAACTGACTCAACATGCTCCCAAAGTCTTGAACTACCAGTAGTACAAGCACTATTGTCCCACTGGGCAACATGCACCACTGGTGGTAAAAGTAGCACAGTCATGCGCATACCCCCAGTTGTTCAAGCCACCCAGCAGTGAGACATGAAATACAAATGTGTTCTTCACATTGTGAATGTGTCTTCAGCTACATGTGAAGTCCCGGAAGTGCTAGGGGCTCACATCCCAGGCCACAGCTCAGAGTTGTGCAGAGCTAAGAGGGCTACCTTTTGTGGCCGCTGGAGAAGGTAGACAGAGACATTCCCCAAATTACCGCAGCTCAATAGACCACATACCCTTGGAAGAAACACTTTGGACAGATGCTCCCACAAAGCCTGAGGCCAGGAGAAAGCACTCATGCCACGAGTGCTGTGAGTCACACTGCCACATGGACGTGCACAGCTGGCACGGGCCTGGGAGAAGCTACAGGCAGCATGAAACTTCTCAAGGAGCCAACTTCTGTGCCTCACCAGTGGGTTATGGAGAAAATCTGCTTAAGATGATGAAACACATGAAAATACAAAGAATGAATTTGCCCAAAAGGATCTAACAAGCAAGTAAGTGATACCTGGATTTTGAAAGGAATAATTAAAACAAAGCAAAAGGGACAAAGATGAATTCTCTTGGCCTAAATATATTTAAATTATGGGAAAAGGGACTGGGTTCCAAAACACACAAAGCAGAAGTCATTCTTAATATGACTACTATTTCCTGACTGCTGTGCCTACCAAGGTAAGGCTCTCTCCCAGAACAAGCATGAGAAAGGGAAGTGCAGAGCTCAGGCATCCAGTAACCCACATGCCCTGGTCTGATCTGGATCAGGACTGCTGGCATGTCTGCAACAGAGTGGCCCCGTGCACTGAAAGTGGTCTGTACCTCTTCAGGTATGGAAGATTCTTTACCTGACAGGTGTGCCGCTACAGCCTAAAGTCAAGTGGGGCGGGTCATGACACCCCTGAAGACTCGCTGCTGAGTATGTTCTCTAGGAGAACCACTCCCCTCCTAGTAAAGTCCTAAGACTGAAAAACGCTGTACACCATAACTGTCCCACCACAGCAAGGAGCTCTCTGGTTTACTGCTTTACTAGCTGTGGGATGGTGGCTTGCACAGCCCTGGAAATGAGACCATGTACCCAAAGAAAAGGAAGCCAGCAAGTCTCCTTCAATCCCTCCCTGCACCAGGCTGGTCCCACCAGTGTCCTGACTAACAGGCACACAGCTTCCGCCTACTCAGGCACCATGGACAGCATGGATCCTAACCAGTGATGAAGCATCAGGAGCAGCTGTCCCAGCTCCAGAAGTGTGAGGTGGCTCCCATCCGGCTCTGCCCAGCTCCGCATCTCTGCACCCACATGACACAGAAAACACTTCCTTCTACTAAGCAGCACAACTCCCAGGAGCTACCTTCAAGTAGGCCTGACCCCCCCAGAGCAGCCTTTCAGGGACAAGCTGTCCACCCATCAGAGGAGCTACACACATGAAAATGAATGCTGACAGTCTGAAGGCACTGCTGGTCCCAGCCCGTCCTGACAACACCTCTAATGAAGCCCAGCAGTCAGAGCTCAGCCCAGGCTTCCCTGAGCTCCTCCTGCCACTGCCCAGTTCCAATCACTGGGCCTTTGTCCAGCAGCTTACTTGATTTGCTCCCAGGTCTTGGTGGCCAAGTGCAGGACCCAGAGATCCTTGTAGTGGTAGAACTGCTCTCCATCAGGGGAAGCAAACTCCCCTCCAAAGACCCACAGCTGTCCGCCACCCTGAGGTACCACCACCGCCTGTTAGAGGAGAGATAAGAGTCAGTCCAATCGGTTCCAGAGTGACCAGAAGCAAAGCACCACCCTCTGCTTGGCCATCATCCCCTCCTGCCTCCAAATGAAAAATTGCTGGCGAAAGCCTCCTAGTTATCCCCTCCTCAGTCAAACGCTGAAACACTTTTGTGTTGTCCTAGACAGCAAAGTGGACTTCCATCTACATTTAGACTGGCACACCCCAATCTAGCTGTTTTAATAAACAGCTCCTGCAAGGAAGCCAACACCAGATTTCAGCCAGTATCTCCACTAAGGCCACTCTCTGGCCCTCATTAGTTCTTTCTCAGCTGGAAAGCACTACATCCCTAAAAGTACCA